GTTAGAATAAATAAAAATGGCCAATAACATCACATTCATACAGGCATAGTGGGTGAAGTGTTTTGCCTAATGACACAACTACAGTTTGTACACATTTGAGAGCCACTGCCTCTCCACCGTGGCACCTGCTTTTCCCAGGTGTCTCCCATCCAAGTTCATTTGTTCATTTCTTATGAGGTTAAGATACAAATGTCTCGTTGTAAGTGGTTGGTGTAATTAAATAGATACAACAACACCACATTCATATAGGCAAGGTGGGTGAAGTGTCTTGCCTAATCACACAACATCAGTATGCACTAGACCTAAGCCACTGCTGCACCACTCTGGCACCTGCTATTGCCAGTGGTCTCCCATCCAAGCACTAACCAGGCCCAACCCTGTTTAGCTTCCAAGATAAGGCATTCTCAAGTTTATAATTAGTTAGATTTTGTCCCAGTAGAACACATCTGATTTAGTATTGGGCTATGATGTAAAAAGTTAGAAACTATTTGGGATAATTGTGCTTTGCTTTTAACAGTCCGCCATTATACTGCAAGGTTAAAGAGGACTGCACAGTTTGTGGAGTGGATTCGGGGTTAAGAGCATATGTAAAAGACTGATTGAGGCTGTGATATTAGCCATTTATCACACAGGCCCCACAGACAATAGCAACCTTTCGGCGGAGGATACCGTGGGTGTTGAGTCCCACCTGGGTCCCCACTGGGCCTTTCTGCTCCATATTTCTGTGGCGTTACTAGAACACTGTGTTCTCTCTACCGCCGCGTCGCAAAATGTCTGCTATTAAAAATGCCCGGCTGCTCCGTCCGGCCTTTTTGGATGACAAAGTTGTGTTAGTGGAGACCAAACAGAGGCTAATACTTTGGTGGAAGTTCATATGCCACAGGGACAGGTACAAACTACATAACTGTATCCTTTATATAATTATGCTTAATTTGACACCAGTCTCTTGCTATTTTTTTCTATTTATTTAGAATTTATTATTACCATTTATATTTTTTCTCTTTGTTACTATATTGTGATTTGTGAGCTACTATGTCCAAGTAAGTTCCCTTGTGGGTCAATAAAGTTTGGTTAAGTCTAAGTCGTAATCACATTCAACTCTTAGAGTTCCAATTTTCTACTTAGTTTGAACCTGGGTTACTTTCTTTTAGTTTAAAAGGGCCATATTACGCTTTTTTTTTTTTAAGATCTATGTTATAATGTTGTTTCCTTATCAGAAACATATCTGAAGTTGTGTTTTGTTTCATACGTCTAACACACAAACCCTGCATATTTATAAGAGTTGTTCTCTCAAACTGAAAACTGTTCCACCTTGTGTCGTCATGAAGAACTGCACTGTGTTTTTAAACTCCATACACCTATAAAAGAATAATTTCATCCCTTAAACATGTGTGAATGAAACAAAACACAGTTCCAGGTATATGTTTGATGAAGAAGCAACATTCTAACAAAGCTTATAAGAATAATTTTGTGTGAAATAGGGCTTTTAAATGCCGTATTATTATTTAATGTAATTTGCCACCTGCATTTATCCTTCAACCAGTTCCTAGCCTGTCAGAATCAGAGCCAGAAACTTGGTAAGGAGTATTTAGCTGGAAGATGTGCCTATTGTGTATATGTTTTAAAATGTTGGGGGAAAGCTAGAAAGAACTGACATGAGTAGGACACACAAACTGCAAACCCTAAACTTGGGACCTTTTCGCTGTGAGGTGAGTGCTACTCATTCAAGCACACTGCTAAATGAATTGTATGTAGGGAAATTGCAATAAAAAGCCACAGATTTGCATACTTTACTCTGAATTACTGAGACAAGAGAAGCACATAGGACAAGTTAGATGGGGAGAGGAGATTTATTATCAAAGACTGACAACTAAAAGGAAAAAAACAAACAAACACACTTCTAGTGTAAAATGCATGTATAAATATAACTATGCCACTGTGTCATAAGTTTGAACCCTGTCTGGGAGCCCAGTACCTCTTCTCTTATGCTTCCCTTAAACTGTTTTTTAAGCCTTTGAGCCAAAATAAAATCAAACTATTTCCTGATAAGCACTCATTACAGTGTAATTGCAGTCTGCACCTTGGCACCAGGTGTTGGCAAAAGAGCAAAAATAACATTTAACACTACTTTTAAGCTCTTCTAATTAGGTACAATCAGACACATCTTACACATTTTTATGTCTGCATGCTTAATATACTGAAAAATCTAGCACGACACTTAGATGATCCCCAGGGTCAAAGTAAATAAAATAAGAAGCAGTACATCACCTGCAGTTGCCATTTTATCCAATTAAACATAGATAATTCCTCCAGCTAATGCCACTGTAACACCAATGTATCTGCACAAATGCCACGACTGACACCAGGGCTGTTCTGTGTGGTATCAAAGAGAGATTAAGACTGCACTTGGCCACAAAATATAATGAACAAAAGGTGCTTTTCTTCTTCCAGCTAATGCCAATTACATGTTCTTTTGTATGTTTCAAAAATTATGTACTTTTATCAATATTTCAGCACGTGAGCATAACGTTGCCCAATCTGTATGTGTTTTATCATGTCTCTGTCTCATTGAGAGATTGAGTGATTTTGTGTATTGTCTTGAATCTGTGTGCAGTGTGCTCTTTTACCATGTTCTCATTTTACTAATATGATGACATTTTGTATCTCACTTATATTTAAAGTCCTTGTTATTTGTATGGACTGAATTTTTTATGCTCATGTTTTCTGTTTTGCCATCAACTCGCCAATGGGACTACAGATGAAAATGACCCTGACTCAGGCACATGTACATGTTGTACATGTTAATTAATGTGCACTGTTGCATATTTAATAAATAAACATAAATAAACTTTATGAAACCAAATAGAGGAATAGCTATTGATATGTTTACTGCATTAAATATGTTTTCCTAATCATTACTGTGTTTTTAACAGTTTTGGTAATAAAACATCAAATGAACGAATAGTGTCCCATATTCATGACTATTTTACCTCCCTTGCAAACCAAGTCTATCTTTTCTGTTAGCCTAATCCATCACTTGTAATCTTGAGTTGATATATTTGGTTCTCAAGAACATGGGTGGGTGAGGGTTTAATATTTAAGTCATAAAAGCACAAATTTTTTCATCTATCAAAACTCCTCTTAACGACTTATATAAACTTTAAAGTGTGCCAATAGCTGTCATGCAAATACCGGCAGCCTGATGCATCACCGTCTTTCTAGTTCTATTTGAATCTGGCTTTGGAGCCTCACCCTAGAGCCACAAATAAAATGCAATAAGCAAAACTTTTAATAATCCTCCTTCCTTTTCCTCTCAGGTGTTTGTGCATGGCGGAGGAATATGTCACTGTCCCCCGAGGAACTAAAAATATGAATCACACGAGTATTATTTTCTAGCTTGGGCTGGTTTTCATAAGGGCATATCAGCCAGAACAGGAGTGTATATAGAAGCAGTGCAAAGTGGATTAAATGTGGGTTTTGATGGATACATGCAAAAATTTATGGAATTAGTGGCAGAGGTGGTAGAAGACAAAATCAGAACAGTTTAAAATGAAAAAAGTATTCTGGAAAAGTATTACTGTCATTGTATTAATGGGACTCCATCACTGTAGTGCACAGAAGAAAGTGGTTTTAAAAGGCCTGCTATTACTAGTAGTATACTCCTACTATGCTACTAATACTACACTACAATCCAATATTTCTTTCTGTGCTTTATAATTATTACCATGCATTACAATATCTAATAGTACTTCTAATACTGTTACTTATATATACTTATTGCTCCCATACATTTCTGCTAAAATCTGTATTTGCTCTGACTTTTCTATAAAAACTACTGACTATTCTAAAATGTACAGTGTTTTTTTTAAGTTTTTTTTTTGTTTTTTTTTTTTGAGAAAATATGCAATTTAATCTCCCCAAATCAGTAAATTAAAAACAGAATTCAAACAAATTTCATAGCGTATCTGACATAACCTAATCATACCAGCAGAGGGAGCAGCAGGCAGCATTTGGCAGAGTGCTCTGACCACAGGAATGAGTTTTTTTTTGTTTTTTTTTCACACAGTACAAGCCGGTGCTCAGGCTTTATTAGAATAGACAAGTGAAACATCTGCTGGAGAATCTGCGGTCTGTCTTAAAATCGATGCAAATCAATAAAAGAGAGACTCAAAAGTGGTTCTTTGTACCCAAACGCAACTGTTAACGTAAGTGCAAGTGGAGGAAATGCATTTTGTGGATTTGAGCAAAGAAAACCGGTGAAGATGAATATCCACAACATGTAAACAATAATCAATAGGCTATACGTTCATATTTAGGCAAAAGTATAAGTCTAAGCAAATTGCAAATTCTATAAGGTGTTTGAAATAGGTATAGCTTGTTCCAATGTAGTCTGTTACCTAATTAGCTAATTTTATTGATGAGGTGTTAATAAACAAATAAAGCTCCATGAAACACACTTTTAAAATGTCGTAATTATTTGCACGTTTATTGTCAAAATGTACGCTATGGACTATTGATTGAGTTACGCATCATGTTAATGGAATTAATTAAACATGCAAAATATATTGAAATTTTGATTTTATTTAATTTGAAAAAACTTTTAATTGTATTTGAGTGAGAGCGTCTGTTTGCCATATTGTGAAAAAGTCGCCTATTAAAAGCTGTTGTTAATTGGGTTAAATGGTGAATTGTAATAGAAAGTACAGGCTTGTGTGGCATCATGTTGCCTCTTTGAATTCCTTCCTCTTACAATAGACGCGCTAAAAGGAGGCTTGGCTAATTTCCCTGAACTCCGCTAATCTACACATCATCTCCTTCCCTTTTTCCAGACGCTATCGATCAACCCTCGGCTTTACGTCAGTATTGATAACTTTGCCAAAGCAAAATCAAGTGCAATTGTCCAGTTAATGTGGTGGACGGCGCACGGATACTGTCGCTCGTCTATGCTACTTTTTTGGGCAGCCTGCGCACTTTCCCCCTTTTTTTAAACATCTGTTACTTTTTTGCTCTTCCTTACGCGTAAAACATGCCGGCAGACTTGTCAAACATATCTGTGGACTTTGTGTTGAGAAGAAGTCGCTACTTTTTTCTGAAGTAGGACCTGGTTAAACAAGGGGGAATCCAGCCCACATATTTATTGCAGCCGCTGAAAAAAATCTCCTCAATATCCCCCAAGATGGCCGCCGATGTAGGATCGATGTTTCAATATTGGAAGAAATTTGATCTACGGCGGCTTCAGGTTAGTGCTATTCTCACCTCTTTCGGTCGGATTGTGAAGCGGTATGTCTGCTTATTGCGTTGGGTTGCGTGTTAAGCTGTTTTGGTGGGTTTGGAGCGAAAGATAGCGGTGTTTGCATTGATAGTTATTAGAAATTGATCTCTGTTCTGGCTTTGTTCAGTTCACTCATTGATCAGCGGTGGAGCGACCGTAGAGCTGCACAGCCCCACGCCGATCTGGCATCAGCACCGCGGACAGCACTGCTCCCTAACCGAGCATACACAACATTTTACCCGCTTTTTACACTTTATTCATCCCGACAAGCACCGCTGTTACACGCTAGGGAAACTTTTAATGCCGTGCTCGTGGACGTAAGCTGTAACTTTTTCGCCGACTGTATGTTTTTTCATGCGGTTTCCGCGTTGACGAGATCTCACTCGCTGCATTTTTCCGTGCGTAAAAGCAATGTTATTTTGAAATAAGTTTGATTTACGACCAGGAAAGTTTATCTGGCGTGGGTCAATGTTTGTCTTAAGGGGGTGCTTTAAACATTATCGTGTTTCAAAGCGGAGCATGGACTACTGACGCGATTATGCACTGTTTTGAATGTGTGCATTTGAACGCCGAAGCTACGGACTGGTGTCACGGGCGCATTATGTCTGCTCTTAAGTGAAAGCGTGGAGGCTACGGCAGGTGAGCTGTTTTGTTTGTATGGCTGCCCTTACCGTGTAACACATTAGCTTTTAAATGTCAAGTCAGCTTAACCACCACCCGGGCTCAAAGTTGGCTTTATAAACCACAGACCCTGACAGGTTGTAATGGCGTGTACTCCTGGTTCAAATAAATGTTGCAATAAAAGGCTAAAACGCTGCTCCTATCCAGTGTCCACCGCTACCACCGAGTACCCCCCTCCGCCTCTGCTCTATCCTCAAGCCGCATAAGGGCTGCTGCTACACGGCCGGTCAGAGAGAAGGGGAAGGGGGGGCTGTGTGTGTGTGTAATTGTATTCCCCGCTAATGTTTGTAAATCAGGCTGGGCTGGCGCAAGGGCACCGTCTCTGCCGCTTGATTGATGTTCTGTAACATAAGAAATGACAGGAGCATGGCAGTCCGGGTCCCGCGCGCTGGAAAAGCCTGGCGAGGAGCAGAAATCAGATCTGGTGGCTACATGTGGCGCTGTGCTCTCTCGCGTGTCTTGCACTGGTCGTATATGGTGTCGCTTAGTCCGTGCAGCCGCCGGACCCTGTCTGCTGCGCTGCTCCGGGCTGAGTCCATCCACAACATAAGGCTATTGTTGTTCCATGGATAGGGGAAGATAGTGGAGCGTGTATGTTTCTGCTTTTGGTATATGCGCTTTCAAGGTTTTCTTTACGGAGCAGTGAGCTAAACCTGAACTGCCCCTCAAGGATGATGCCCAAGCCATTATCCTGTGTCAGGGGTGGTGATGTAAGGAGCTTATAATAAAAATGGTTAGCGGCTAGTCAGTGGCCACCATAACGCACGTACACTACAATTCCACTATAGGGAAATCAGACATTGTGCCATAAATTAGGCTTTAACTTATTCTTGTATTCCCCGGAATATAGGATTATGTAAATTAGGTCTGTACATTGATAAAGAAGATTAATAGTAAAAGCTCAAATATAGGCTGTGAAATTATTTTCTATAGTTTAGTCTTGTTTTGGTTACTGCATTACAGATGAACAGAAACTAGTATGTGCTTGATAACTTAAAAAATACTAAACATACTCCTTTTCTGAAAACAAGTAAAAACGATTTCACATCTTGTTATATTCCTATTTTAAAACTTCATTGACAGTTTCATGCTCTGTTGCCTTTTCAATCTCGCCTCGTCAAAAAGTGCACCTCCTCAAAACTCTGCCTTATATGCCAAAGTCTAAAAGTAGCAATGACAGGCTTAAGTCAGGAAAAATGTTTAGAAATAACAAAACATAGCACTGTGTATATTCAAATACAGCCCATATTTGAAATAAGTTAATGTTGAAATCATTTACACCTCGCAAATACATCCACACATGAGGCATTAATTATACGCAACAACAGCAACATTGAAATATGAAATCTATATGCCCCTTAGTGCACTAATGTAAACAATTTGCCACTGTCTTTGAGGTATCAACTGTAATAGATGATACAAAATGACTTAATATTAATAGTCGGATACCAATACCAACAATTAGATGCAGAAAGTGTTCCGTTATATTGTTTTAAATGACTACTAATATATTCTATAGATCTCAAGTTAAGTAGTATGAATGTGGTGTGTAAATGTTATTGGTGGTCAGAGGGGCCAGTGGCACAGATTGGTAGCCACGTTTCTGTCAGTCTACCCCAGGGCAGCTGTGGCTAAAATAGTAGATTACCACCACCAAGTGTGGAGTGAATGAATAATGCAGGAAATGGTAAAGCGGCTCTGAGCGTCTGGAAAAGAGCTACATAAGACTAATGCATTATTATTATTATTAAAGATACGGGTGCAGATAGAGTAGTGCTTCCTGACCTCTTTCAGTTCCTACAGTTATTATAAAACGTGTTGGCATTTGTGACCCCTAAACATTACTAAAAGTAGGCTGCCCATAAAATTATATAGTAGCCTGGAGTATCTATATGTCTTAGATAAATTAAGAATAGGAATAGGAATGTTTTAGCAATTTAAGACAATTTCATACATTTAAAATGATTCCCCATAGCATCTGGGGATCCCCTGAAATAATTTTGCACCCCATGTTGAGAACCACAGCTGCAGAGATACGGGTGCATGTAAAATACTGATTCCTTCTTTGCTGAATTTCTAGTGTTTGGTGTTTGTAATGTAAAGCGATGATATCGTGAATGTTTAGAGTGAACCTTTTTCAGTAACTATACACTGAATAGTATTTATGTATGTTTGTAGATGTGGTATTAGAACAGTACACAGACCAGTTCCTCTTCCCCGCGGGTGTCTCGTTAAAGAGAGAGTACTTCTTGACACTTTTCTTTGCGATCATTTTCAATCAAATGTGCACGGCAGGCTGCATGGGGTAACGATTATTTGACATGTGACACTAATATGTTCCAACACTCCACCACTTGTGAAATGTTGGCTGTTGTATCGGAAGAAAGCAGAGATTTTATTTCTATGCTATAACAATCGTGAGTAGAGGTGATATTGTTCTTGTTTCTCAATAGCATGAATGGACATGAACTTGCATTAAATAAATTCAAAAAGCAAAAAAGTATTTTAGACCTGTTTAATGTTATCTTGTAGACAAGCAAGTGGCACCAGTAGGCCATGTTACTGGTCAGATCTGTGGAGAAATTAGTTTTAATGAGCAATAAAATGACCCGTAATGAAATAAGTAAAAAGATGTGTTTAATGTCATACTGTTGAACATTACAGCTAAAGCAATAACATCTCTGTGGCAACTAGCAGGTGGTGTACCCTCTTCCAGAAATTGGACACTGCGGCTTTAAGTTAAAATGAGTTCATATTCATCTTCAAAATCAATATTAACTTGCCCTAACTTACAAAATTATAAAATTAAATTTTGTACAGATTTTGTTATTGGAATACAACATTAATCTTATGTTCTCTATAATGACACATGTGTTAATGTCTGGTTGAGATTGAGAACTTCAGTCAGACCAGTCAGGGCTGTATTTCCTTGTTATCACCTCAAAGCATGTAGTTTTTGTCCGTGTTACAGGATGAATAATTCTCCACACCTCGGGACAGCCTGGTTTGGGAGGGGGGGCAGAGAGCGCGCGGCGTGGAGCGGGAGACTGACCTTGGCTCCTGCTGGCTTCAGGTCGCCCGCCCGTTGCCGTGGTAATCATTCACTCGGGCCAGATGGCATTTCCGTGGGCGAGCTGCGAAAGGACGGGTCACGGTGTGTCCTGCCAGGCCCAAAAACAACTCAGGGGCCAATGTACCTGCCATACAGAGAGAGAAAAAGAGAGAGAGAGAGAGAGAGAGAGAGAGAGAGAGAGAGAAGTGGAGAGAAGGGGAGAGAGAGAGAAAGAGGAAGTGAGAAAAAAGGAGAGAAACAGATAAAAGAGGAGGAGGAGGAGAACTGAGAAGTGAAAGAGAGAGTGAGTGAGCCACAGAGAGGGAGAGAGAGGTGTGGTTGAATTAGGCTAATATTGTCAGCTGAAAATTACACGCTGTTAATTTATCACACTTTCTTTTACTCTCTTTTACCTTAACATGCCCTTTAAGACTGCACAAAAGGGAATTATAAAGATAGCATCAAAGATAGCAGGCAACTTTTTTATTGTACTTTGGGAAACTTTGGTAAGGCAAAAAAAGAAGCTTTAAACAACTCGAGTAGTGGTTTCTGATTGGATAAAATGTGAAATTATTGGCAATTATTTTTATTAGAACTGGGAAATTAATCAGATTCTGTAATGAGATCAAGATACAGTCATTTATATTCGTCAGTGATCAGCTTGGATCTTTGCGCGCGATTTAAAGGAAGAAACATAACTATTTTTGTGTCTGTTTTTCATATATTGAGGAAATTAATATTGAAAGCAGTTTTTATGTGTTTTTGAAAAGTCAAAAATTTAAATCAAATTGAAGAGTGTGATAGACCAATAGTTGGAGAGCTGAAAAAAGTTACACCCAGACTTAAGTTTATAGATGGAAAGTTTCCAAAAAAGATTCCACAAGCAACTTGTTGAAAGGTGGACAGATTAACCACTCTGCCACCATGCACCCCTTCAACTGCCCCTACTGCTTTCGATACCCATTAATTATATTTTGCTTTCCTTTAACTCACCTTGCAAAAGTCCCCAAAACAGACTTATCAAAGACACTTTTTCATACACTTCTTCACCAAACTTTGAGCTTCTTGTTTATTACAATCTAAATCCCATCCCTCTGTTATGTTGTTCAGATGTCGCAATGCTGGGCTCACAGGGCGAAATTGCGCTTTATTTGTGGCCTTGTTTCCACGCGTTGCCTCGGTCGAAGCGGAGGGCCTTTTCAGATCAGGAACAAAAGCTAGTGATTGTACTACA